TTGGGTTTTAAATGAGCCGCCACTTGAAGTGGCGGTTTTTGTATAGCAGTAGAAGAGCCGCCACTCCGAGTGGCGGCTTTTGTAAAACAATTAAAGAGCCGCCACTCGGAGTGTCGGCTTTCCTTAACCGTGGTTAACCCCAGCAGTATTTCGGGAATTATTCTTAACCCGACAGTATTTTGGGAAATATTTATTTATTTAGCATTATTCCGGGAAAAAACTCTAATATATTAGCCCTTCTAGGTTTTAGAAATTTTAAAAATAGATAATGTCATTTAGATTTAGATTGTGGTTAAGATTTTATTTGTTACTTTCTTTATTATGTTTTATTTGAAAGACCCTCATATTCACATATGCATTTTTACTTCGTCATTTATTGGTTGATGCAACAAATATGACATCAATAAAGCTGATTGTCTCATATCACTGTCTATGTCCAAAAATGTTACGTAGTACGAAGTATTTTTTTACACAAGCTAAGTACCAGGTTCTATGACTATTGAATTAGATATCAACATCTTTTGTTTCAGTAACCTGTGCTTTTTAGATGTCATGGAGTAGAAGCGGCATCGTTAAATACTTTTCTTACATTCTACATAGTAAAATAAAGCTAAAAAATAAAATATCGTTCACCCATGTGATAATATTTTCTAAATACACATTTATCTTAATGTTATCTCAAATTTGTTTTCACATTTCTGATTAAAGATATTTTCAATTAGAATTAATTTTTTTCATTTGATCTATGAAAGAATAAAAGTTTGCATAGTTTGAAGTGTTATGTTTTTAGGGTGTGTTTCGGAAAATAAAGAAAATTAATTAAAATAAATTAATTAAATAAAGTGACTAGAGAAAAACAAGAAAGGAGATGAAGCAGAATTAGTCAAAGCTCGTGCTACGCACGATGTCCTTAAAACGTATTTGTTGCCTCCCACGGTTCTAGGAGCGTTGCAACAATCGTTTCCCAGGATACGATGACTACGAACTAGTGTTTGAGCACTCAAACAAGAGTTCCAACGAACGAGAACACAGTATGAACACAGAGAGAATTTTTAGATTGCTAGCAGTGTGTTTTAGAGGTGCAAAACGTGTATGGAGTGTATGAATTCGTGTAAGAACGTGTGTTGTTGCAAACCACCTGCCAGCCATTATTTAGGAGGATTTGTTGTGTGTAAACGGTGAATTAATGGACCTGAACGTTGGACATCAATGTCCAGTCCGTTGGGCATTGAATCGTCCATGAACTGTCCATTTAACGCTACATTAAAAGATAAGAACGTTGGGCATTAATTGTTGTAACGTTTCAGAAGCGCGACAGAAGACCTCCACCAGAACACCCCGGGAGGGGTTCTGATCGGAGGCCAATCAGAAGACCCCTGTGAGGGTTTCTGGTCCGCGACCATCAGAAGACCCCGAGGGGTTCTGGTACGTGGCCACCAGAATACCCCAAGAGGGTCTCTGTCCCGCGGCCATCAGAAGACCCAAGAGGGTCTCTGATCGAAGCCTTCTGTTCCGGAGCACTTTTGTTACTGGGAAAAAAACAAAAATTAACTGTATCTCACCCGTTATCCGTTTTGAGCGTACCATACATCGAATTGTAGCCCTAAGCAAGGACAATCCGAAACCACTTTGACCCGATCCAAATCGGAAGTGGACCCCACTCAAACAATTGCCCCAAAATAGCCATTTAATCCAATTTTTCACACATTTTTCCAACAATGTTTTGATTATTACCTACCACTTGACGTGAGAATCTTTTTAAAGATTTAATTAAGTTGTCCTTCTAGGTAATTGCTTACTAAAAGTCCAAAGCATGCAACTTTTCTTCGTTCAATAACACTTATTTTAATCAATCGATATAATGAAAAATGAATTGACCGCTACCAATCGCGATACGCAGCCGGCCTGTTGTCACCACCATCACCTTCACATTCTAAACTCTTTTCTCAAAGGAGATAGAAAGACTAATTTGCTCAATTCCAAATCCTAGAAGGACTAATATCTTTTAAAAATGACCACACCCCTTATTAATTAAACAAATAAATACAAAAATGAGTATTTATTTGTTTTGAAAATAGCACGTTAAGGATGAAATCTAATGGATAAAAATACGCATTGAACATTTTGGTTTGTTTTTTGTTTAGATAAAGATGATTGAGAAGACAAAATTCATTTGGACGCAACATTGAGAGTTATAAAAAAAAATTGGCTCTTTTAGTTGGAAAATATAGACTGAAACAAGTTTAAATAATTATTTAATTTCAACTAAATAAGTGACTTTCTGTTAGTTATAATTACTCATACATATGTGAGTATGCGCGCACACATATATATGGTAAAATTAGAAAAAATCGTTTTATCCCGTGCACGACACGAGTAAAGATACTAGTACGTAATATAATTGGAGGATAGGATGCGGGTTAACGTTATATGTCCATCCATATACGCTTCAATTCTACCAAATTTTTAATCGGGTTTAATGCACCAAACCCCCTCCTAAAATATAAATTCGGCGCATTAGCATTCTGTGATTTAAAAAATGCGTCAAACTCCCTTGTGTTATGTTTTAATCAAACGGCTACATAGCCATTACAAACCATTTCAAACGGATATCTGCCCCACAAGTCCACAACCCCAGTGGCCCAACCCTTTATTTAAAAAAAAGGTAAAGTGTCATTGGGACTGGGACCACCCAATCTGATCCCCATTCTTGAGACCCAAGACCAGACCCGCATAGGGATGCACTGGGACAAGTTGGCCCGATTCGGTTCCAACACAGCCCTAATACTATTTAGGCCCGGCCTGATACTGTTTAGGACCGGCCCAGGGCCCAGACCGGTGGCTATAATAGGGGTAGACTCGGGTTGGGCCGCCCGGCCCAGAACCGGTCCGGTACAATTTGGGCCTGGCCCGATACCCGGTCTTGGGGCCGGTTCGGGCCACCCGGAACCGCTCAACTCCCGGTTCGGGCTTGGGCCTTGAAAATGTTGAACCGGCCAGTCCGGGCCCGGTTCGGGCCAAATTTGTTTTTTTTTTGTTTTTTCAAATTTTTTGGGGTTTCTACCGGATAGGGCTGGGTGTTTTGGGGGTGGGGGGTGAAGGGGAGGATTGGGGGTAATTTAGAAAAACAAAAGAAAATAAAAAAGAAATTACATTGAACTGGAAACCGACCTGGCCCGAAACCGCCGGTCACACGGGCCGGTTCCGATTCCCTACTTTCCAAACAAAAGCCCGGCCGGGCCCAGGCCTGAACCGGAACCGGCCCGGGTCCATCCCTAGCTATAAGAAGCGGGCTTCGGGCTCGCTTTTTTGGGCCCGACCCGGTCGTGGTATAAACCACTGATACTAGGCCTGAAATCTTTAGAGCATCTCCAATGCAAAAACGTGAACGGTGCATACGTGGTATGAAGTTAGTTAAATACGGTACGGGAATTAAACGAGGTTTAATATGTACATGTTTTATTCGGTGACAAGAATGAAAAAGACGGTCAAATATCCGTTGAAAAATACGTTGTCTTTTAAAAAATGTGTGAATACGTATACGTGTATGATACGGTATATGTTACAAAAATTCGGACAAAAAATACGGGTATTATTTTGAACATTTAAAGTATATTCTTCACCAAATAAGATATATAGTAAAAACAAATAAAAGTATACATATGTTCAAGTAGCAAATCTCATTACATACATAGTAAAAGAATAATTTGTAATTTTATAAGCTGATGAAAAAATAAAAATAGTAATTAAGTCCAAGACATGATTTTGCAAAATAAAGTAAAAAATGAGGAATAATAACAATAGAATGAGATTAAGTTAAAATCATTGTCTTTATATGATCATGAAATAACACTCAAGTCAAACTCATGATTTTCATCAAGATGATGAATGACATATGCACATTGTGTGACTGCTAATGTTATGTTCATTATTGTTTATGTATAAAAGTTTATACTAATAATATGTCAAGTTTAGAATAACTTTAATTTTGATATGATTGATGGGGAAAACATCACAAATCCAGTAGTATTTCAAGTTTTGGTCTTTTAGGAAGCTAGCTCTAGCCGTCTTGCAAATAATTTTAGTGATTAATAATCCCATTGTAACAACACAAAAACATGGGGTCACGACGAGGAGATTTTCCATTTTCCTTTTAAGCTGTTGTTGTTCTTATATGCATTTTATGCACTATTTCAATTATCAGTTCATATTTCTGTTTTTTGTAAAATACGGAACAAATACGTTTTATACGGAAAGTAGGAGTTTTTTTCCTTTTTAAACGGACCGACGTTATTTTTCGTTTCAAACGCGTTTTTTGTTCAAAAAAACGGTACGCGTTTAAAATGCGTTTAAAAAAAACGGTACGCGTTTAAAGGAGTACTGAAACAACACCCATACGTACACTACACATATGAATCCACCGGCTTTGAAATTTGAATGAGTTCAAGGACCACTTTTGTTTCCCGATAGTTAAGGTCATATGGCTGGACTTGGGCCGGTTCGGGCCTGGGCTAGCGGTTCAAGAATGGGAGGCCCGGGACCAGCCCGGGTAATTCCCAAGTCCGGGTCGGGCCGGGCCTAGCCGGGCCTCGGGTATATGTAATTTTTTTTTCCTTAACCACCAACTCGAATCCCCCCTCACCCCCAAACCACCCCAATCCACCCCAAATGGCCCAAAATACTCAGCCCAACCCGAAAAGTAAAAAAAAAAATTGGAAAAGAAAAAATTAAAATGGCCCGGAACCGGGCCCAAACCAGCCGGGCCGGTTCACGATTTGGGGGACCCGAACCCGGACCAGAACCCCGCGGGTCGGGCCTACCTGTACCGGTCACTGACTTGGCCACCGGGCCGGAACAATGCCGGTTTGGGCCGGTTCCTGGTCGGGCCACCTGGCCCAAGTCCAGCCATAGATAAGGACTTTGATTATTAAATAATGAGCAACAAGCCAACAACCCATATACGGAGCCAAAATGTATCGAGTAATCATAACTCAATAAGCAGATGATCTTGGCCTAACATCGAGTAATCATAATTTGAAATTTCTGAATGAATGGGGTGCCCGCAATCTAACGGTCGCTATCGATTCCGTTGAACAGGGTTTCTTGTTTCATTTTCTCGTTTTCACTTCCAGAGCATTTGCTAGCAAGGGTCTCCATTCTCGCAACTCCAGCTCTTCTTCTTTTACATTCTCCGCTTCAGTAAGTATTTTATTCTTGATTTTATTTCTTTATTATATTTTCTTGCATTTCTTTTTATTGAAATTTCATGAATGAATGGGGTGCCCGCAATATAGCGGTTGCTATCGATTCTGTTGAATAGGGTTTCTTATTTCATTTTCTCGTTTTCACTTCCAGAGCATTTGCTAGCAAGGGTCTCCATTGTCAAGCAACTCCAGCTCTTCTTCTTTTACATTCTCCGCTTCAGTAAGTATCTTAATTATTCTTGATTTTTTTTCCTATATATTTTATTGCATTTCTTTTCTTGAAGCGTTGCTATTTTGCTCTGTTCTCTAGTCTATTTTGGTAATAAAGTTGTTTATTTACTTGAACAGCTGAAATGGATGTTCCTTCAAATCATGGTGCGTGTGCAGGGCAAAGTTCCATGGCATTCGGGATGGATTTTTTCTACTATATCCCCGAAAATGAGGCAGCTATTGAGTATGATGAAGACTGCATCTATCTTTTCTCTGAGAGATATAATTTGCAAGAATCCCGGAGATGCGTAGAGAAGGCCCTTAATCATTACCGGGATGAGCTCAAAAGACATGTGCAAGGGAATGCGAAAGTTAATCATGTACTGACAGCAGTGGCTCTAAGGTCACAGAAGAAGTGGGTCAATTGTGAAAAGTTGTTCATTGGGCATGTTCCGGGAGTAACAATTGGAGATGAGTTTCAGCATAGAGCTGAAATTGCTCTTGTAGGCCTACATCACCCTTTTGTGGAAGGCATTAATTACGTTAATATCCACGGCAAGAACTATGCAATTAGCATAGTTGATGCCAGCCGTTATGTTAACCGCAGGATATCACTGGACAGTTTCGTATATGTCGGACAAGGCAGAAATCCGAGTGTTAATCGTAATAATCCCAAGGATCAAAGATTGATTAACGGCTATCTTTCGCTTAAAAATAGCATGGAATACGGTGTACCCGTAAGGGTTATCCGTGGCAAAGATATGTATGTATATGACGGCCTGTTTCATGTCAAAAGATGCTGGGTAGAGAGAGAAAGTTATGGCAAAATGACTTTCAACTTTGAGCTCCACAGGATTGCAGCCCATCCACCACCCACCGGCAACAAAGTCACCAACAACAAAATAATCTCTAGGTCCAAAAAGTCACCGAGCGAGTTGAGTTTAAGAGGGTCAAAGACCTTTCTGGAGGCAGGGACAATTTTCCCATCCCTGTGTTTGCTAATATGGGTGCCCAAATGCCCGCGAGTTTCACTTACATAACTCGCATTATATATCCAGACTGGTATCATCCGTCAGCCCCACCTGGCTGCATGTGCGAAAGCAGTTGCTCTGATTCCATTGGCTGCTATTGTGCATTAAAAAACGGAGGTAGTATCCCGTTCAACAGCCAAGGATCAATTAGCAGTATACACACAAAACCCATCATCTACGAGTGTGGTCCATCCTGCAAATGCCCACAGTCGTGCAGAAACAGAGTTAGCCAAAGAGGCCCCCGTTATCAGCTGCAGGTCTTCAGGAAAGGACCAGATGGTGAGGGGTGGGGGGTAAGGTCACGAAATTTCATTGCAGCCGGGAGCTTCATCTGTGAGCTTGTTGGAGAATTGGTTCAAGATGACTCTGATGAAAAAGGACATTGTTACAGAATTGATGGAAGTGGTTTCAGAATCGACACGGAGCGTTACGGAAACGTGGGGAGATTTATCAAATGTGGCCTGCCAACGAACATTTTTGCACAGAATGTTGTGTACGATGATGATTACAAGATTGTCCCTCATGTAATGTTCTTCTCTTCTGTGAACATTCCACCAGGCCGTGAACTTATACGCCCAGTTCAAAGTCTGCATGGAGTGATACAGAGTCCTGCACAGCTTTAGCGCTAACCAATCAGTATTATAGTGATACTCTTCTCTATGTTATGCATATTGTTCATACAAGCTCTCGCTATTTTCTATTCATTCTTGTGGAATAGCCTGACCGTATCATATACAGAGTCCTGACGGGAATGCTATTTTAACACTACCTTTGACACCAACTTTATTTTTTCTTCGCTGCACAGGAACATATGATCTTGGGGTCAAATTGGTCAATTGTGGTGTTTGTGTAGTATTATCCTTGTGAGTTTGTAGATTCTTCTTTTGACCTCTTGTGCAGTCAATCTAGCTCCTTTTGTCTTTCTTTCTTCTTTGCTCCTGTGTTTTGAAATTACAAAATGTCTTGCCAGCAGTTAGTTGGTTTGATGAATGATGAGAGTGATTTTAGATCATTATATGGGTAATGCTTCTTACTTCTTGCATCACGTGTGAATCAGTACACTTTTTTTTAAAGATTACTGTAGTCATACCTTTTCGTAACAGCGCCCACTCCAGCGGACAAACTAGAAGTCTAGAACTGTTTGTTCATTCTTCTCTTTTACTATTGCAATACCTTTTCGTAATGAAGTAATGAACTACTTGAATAAAACTTACTGAAGTTGTTTTGTTAGTTCTTACTCCCCCATTAATAATCATAATAAAAATGATAACAAATACTTCCTCCGTTCCTTTTTAATTGCAACGGTCAACATTTCACCTTTGTCAACACACATGTTTGACTATTAGTAAAAAATTAAAAAAATAATAAAATATAGTCAAAGTAGGATATGTGAATAGTGTAAAAAGTCCAATGTTGCAACTAAAAGATAATGGAGGTAGTATCATATCTGTTATTATACGTACAAATACTAATACAAAGTATAATATTTATATTTTTAAGTAAGTGTTATAGTCATATATAATATTTATAGATAGTATCAATTACTCAAGCACATTTAGAATTTTGTTAACTTTGTATATTTAGAAAAATAGTTTTATATCTATATTATCTTGTATCATCAAATTAAATTATGATACATTTATATACTATAGTTTTATCAATTATATACAATAATCAAATAATTTTATTATTTACAAATTTTATATGATATACAATTATATACTTCATATAATTTAGGTTTTAATTTTGGTCAACATTGACCGGGTTGACTCGCCTGGCCTGGCTTGACTCATGACCCAGTCAACTAGACGGGTCGCTTCGCGGTCCGGTTTTTACAACATAGGTATACATGTAATTATTTCTCTATGTATACACGCACACAGTAAATGTTGAAAGAGTCAATAATAAATAAATATACTGGAGTAATAATCTAAAGAAATAGTCATGTTAGATTAATTAAATTTTGTTTATCTAAGTTTTTTGTATCAACATTTCAACTCTGTATACTATGTATTACCTGAGAAATGAGAATGACAAGAGAAATGTTTTTTTTTGTAAAGAAATTGTCTCCTCATTATTAAGTGGCAATAATTGAAAGTTTTAGGGAAAACTTCACAAAATTATCACTTTTGTCACCTCTCGGTATTTCTTTCAAAATTAGCTCGCTTAAAGTTTTGCTTTCATAAATAGGCCACATGCCCACATGTATAACTGGCCTGATGCCTACCTGAAGAATAAACAAAGAAGGCCGTAGCTCGTAGGCCTGCAGGTTGCAACGGCATAAAGAAGAGACGGAGAAGCACCACCAAAGTAGCTTCGGAGGTGGAAACACAAGGCCAGAGTTCAAATTGCTTCTCTAATAATTTACGTCTTCAGAAATCAGATTTCCATGTAGCAAAACAAATCATGGCATTTATTATAAAACTCTAAACCAATTCAGAAATAAATAAAATATAATGTATCTCTATTTTACATGTTTCCAATTTTCCTTTTCCCTTTTATTGAAGTATTGACAATTCTAAGTAAACCTAATCAGGGCCGGTCCTGCCCGGTTTTGGGCCTATGGGTAATGTACTATTTTTGTCTTATTTCCAAGATAAACAGTAAATTATATTTACTTAAAGTAAAAATTACGAGTATAATAAAACTATGAGAAATTACTCTAAATATGACCAAAACCGTTTGTATATCCAAACTAAAATTATCATGTTTTTATTCTCTAATAGAAGTAATTACTGCCATATTTTGATAGTATTATATTTTACACATGGTAGTATTTTTTGAGCATGACAATAATCAATTCTATTCAGAAAATAAACACATGACAGTCCTATTTTGAGATTCTAAAAAAAATTACTCCTTTTTCAGGAATTCTCCCTACAACAATCTAATGAAGGTTATAAAATAAAGACGAAATTCACAGGGCCGACCACCGTGAGCAAGTCCGACATGGAGGATCGATTTCCGACCTGGTGACTTGCCGCCGACCTACTGCCACCATGGTATTCATTTCCCCTCCATCTTACTTCAATCCAAACTCCTTAACCCTAACTCATTAGATAGTAATTTCCCCTTTTTTTGTTATTTTGTTTTAGGGTTTTAATTTTGGATTTTATTCTTTTAAATTTTATGTTTAACTGATATTCTAATATTGTTTGTTTGACACTTTATATTGTTAACATCTTCATATATGCTTGTTTTTAAAACTTTTGTATGATAATAAGCTAGTAACTAGTAAGATGCTTTCTTTAAGTTATAATAACCTATAAAGCATATTCAGGTTATCCCAATCTAAGCCCATAGGGCCATAGGTGAGAAAAGGTATGTCAAGTCTTAGCTCACATGTGATAGACTCTAAAATCTTAATTGGTGCTTATAGTTATTTATCATTTTTATGAAAGTTTAATATTTATATAAATTTATAAAATTAGTATTGATGTTGATGAATCATCAATGATGATTGTATACAAGTATTTGTATGAAAATAATGAATTACTGGTTTTGGTTCTTAAATTTGAACTTAAAGAACAAACAAAAAAGTGATAGATTATAGTCTTATTTCATGCTTGATTGTAGTTATACATATATGAATATTACATGAATGAGAACATATATTTAGAACTAAGTGATTGAACCTTGATAAAATCTTAATCGTAGTTTACATTTGTTCATATTGTGTAGTGTAATATTCACAAAATTAGTGTGGAATGAATATTTGAAATGAGAACATATGACTGGTGTCTGTTTGTTATGAAAAAAAGTTGATAACAGGGTGGATTTAAATGTGAAAGTTGTTCTTCACCGCAACGCAGTAGCAGATTTAGATGTGCAAGATGTTCTTTCAATACACTATCCCAATACACTATCTGACTGCACATATGACTATAGAAGTAAAAATAAGACTGACGATTGCTATATAACTATTATGTACCGAGTTCAATTGGCTTATCTGCACTTCTCTTTAGGTTTATGTGGCACAAGCTAGTCCTTTGTAAATTTGTCATCTTCTCTCAGATTAATTAACATGGAAGCATAGATATTTAAAGCCCTCTCAAATCATACTATAGTTTTAATTCTTGCTATAAGAAAAGAATGAAATACAAGATTTCCATTTTCTTAACTATGAAATTGTGTAAGATTTAGTGTTTCTTTAATTTTGTTCTTTTGTTTATTTTAGAATATATCTGTTGAAAAGATGTCAATGCTTAGACTGTTAGTTCTACATTTTGGGATATTGAATGTTATGCTCACTTTTCTTGTCAAGCTTTATTGTCTTGATGCTTTCAAATTTTTTATTCTTTTGGTTCTCTCGGTTGATGTGTTGAACTTTTGAACTGTTGTTGGGGTTTTTTTTGTTTCATTGTTCAATTGATTTCCTACAGGTTTACAAGAATAAGGAGCACTTGAGCTACTTTCTGATGATCAAGTATTCAAAGTCCACTACAAATGAGCAACATTTATTTTAGATATAATATTTATATCGTAATATGGTTAGATATATTTGTGATAGTTCTGTTATGTACACCAAGTGTGATGGATTAAACAGTCAAATTTGCTCTTCTTATAATATATGATGTTATAATCTTTTGAGTTGGTATTGAACAAAGTCCAATAATTCTATCGATAATGGGACGTGGGACGTGTCATTCTTGTAAGTTATGCTTTTAAACTATGATGTAAATTAGTCAAAAAGCTGATTAGTAATCTTAGATGATACATTGTTATATTTAATTTGTATTCATTAAAAATAGATTTAAATCATGAAAGTGTTAAATATCTTACAAAATAACTTACCTAAATAACTATTTTTATACTTGATTCTCTACTTTATGGACAATAGTTGTTTATGAAATTAAGAATCTCGGTTAAATAAATTCACTCGACAAATTAACTTGTTTCAGTGATACTTGTTTGTAACTAGACATTTCATGTCACATTCACAGTCAATTCCAATTAGCATATTTGCTTGTTCCACTGGTTATTGCTTGTAGTCGGACATTTCATGTCTAGTGACAGACAATTTCACTTAGCCCATTAGCTCATTAAAGTGACTATTGTTTGTGGTTAGACACCTCATATCAGGTTCATAGACATTTTCACTTAGTACATTAGTCCGTTCAGTTGCTAATGGGCTAATGTGCGTAGTAGAATTATCTGTGAACCATAAATGAACTGTCTGGTTACAGACAATAGCCACTTGAACGAACTAATGTACTAAATAAAAAGTCTGTGAACGTGATATGAAGTGTCTGACCACAAACAATAACCACTGAATGGGCTAATGAGCGCATGTGCTAAGTGGAATTGTCTGTGAATCAGACATGAAATGTCTAGCGACAGACAATAGCCACTGGAACAGGCAAGTGTGCTAATTAGAATTATCTGTGAACGTGACATGAAGTGTCTGGTTACAAACAATAATCACCGAATGGGCTAATGAGCTTATGTGCTAAGTGGAATTGTCTGTAAACCAAACATGAAATGTCTAGCCACAGGCAATAACAACTAGAACGGGCAAATGTGATAATTCGAATTGTTTGTGAACCAGATTAATAAGAAATATTCAAACTCATGTGCCAAGTGAAATTGTCTTTGAACCAGACATGAAATGTCTGGCCACAGGCAATAGCCACTGGAACTAGAAAAGTGCTAATTGGAATTGTCTGTGAACGCGACATGAATTGTATGGCTACACACAAAAGATACAGATTTACAAAGTCTTTGATTCTTATGTGAAAAACAAGCATATTTACAAACAAAGTGCTCCATTACCGAGAACAAGCATTATCATTTACAACCCAAATGTCATATACCCTCAAATATCTCAAATCTTAATGCTAACCAACCTAAAAAAACAAACATTATCATTTACAACCCAAATGTCAACGCATTCCAATATTCCAATGTTGACTAATCTAAGAGAAACTAATTTCGGATCATCCAATTCTATAAGACTAGATGAGCTCCAACTACAGCTAAATTGGTTGGCACTCTTCAAAAGACCATCATCTTCAAAAGACAATCATGTTCTCTTCGCCCT